AGCACATTGGCTAGTCCTGAAGTTTTTGTGTTGCAACATCAGGTTTTAAAAAAAGTTCCTGAATGTAGGTCGGCTCAGTCACCAGCAATAGAAAGGATTTCAAATTGACTTTTTGAGCCAAGAACCTGTAATTTCAATTTGTGTGTGTGTGTTTCATTGTAATGGGGTAAATAACACTGCAAATAACAAAAAGCAGACTGAGAAACTAATATCACAGTGATTCTTGGTTACTTAAGAAGAGATAGGGAAAAGTTAGAGGAAGACACAGAAGAACAGGAAAGACACGGATCACTGAGCTGGGAATACAGTTCCTATCCTCTCTCTTTCAGTTGTGTTCTTATTAATGAAAGAGAAATCAATTTGGTGTGTGTTCTTTACTTTGAAAACGTAAATGGATGAGTAGGTCCACCATTCAGATATCCCTAAGACTTGTTTTGATTGAAGATCAGCTCAATCAATGGCCTGTGCATATTTGACAAAATCATGTTAAAGGTATTTAAGGAACTGTAGTGACAATAAATTTGGGTTACTTTAATATAAGCATTACTGGATTTTGGACTGGCATTTATTGTTCTGTGGCTCACAAGTTATGGTCATACATGAAAAAGAAAGATACTGCAATTCATTAACTAGTCAACCAAGAAATCCAAACTATAACATTCTACCTTTACAAAGCTCCAACAGAGTTCCCTCATTTTGTTCATATTTTTTCTCGTTCTTATATGTCATTTTTTTATTAAAAAAAAACAAAAACAAAAAACACTAAAACTCTGGTTTTCTTTCTCATTAGTAATCCACAATATAGCACCATATCTTCTATGATTTTTTCTTTTTCCTTTTGTTTTCCAAACATTTTCACTTTGCCAAGGAGTGTTTTCCTCAGAAGGAATTTTTATGATAGCAGTTGACTAAACTGCTGACACCACACTTTGGACAAAGATTTGCAGATTTTTATAAACTAAAGGCTGTAATATGCACTTATGAGAGTTGTGATTATCATTATGCTCGTTTTTTTAAAGCAGCTCTCAGGATACAAACTAAAATACGATGTATCTGAATGATAAACCAGTGTGACTTGCAGTGAATGACAGAAATACGTGTAATCATCTAATGTATTATTATTTAGTTTGCAACTATAATCACACAACATTTCATTGTAGATTTTTATCGCTTTACAAGAATTCATATTAACAGGAATAGTATTTGAGTGGTTTTATGTTTTTATCATCGTTTTTAATATAAGAAACTGTTAGGCCCACAGATATACTACAGTCCACCCATACATTAGTGTGAATCAGTCTCCAGCTGACTTCTCTGTAGGAATGCATTTTAAGGAATGTGATTTGTTTCAGCATTGCAAACTTTTATGGCAGATCCGTTTGTTTTCTATAACACTTATGACCTTATAACTATTTGGGCATGTTCATTCAAAAGCCTCAAAGTGAGTTTTAATTAAAAAGAGTTAATCTAAAAAAATACTCCCTCACCCCAGCTAGAATTTCTGTCACATCAGTCCACAGAGAGAAAGAAATTTGATTTAGAAGTAGCGGTGCTTTCAGTTTTAGTTACTAGCATGAGCTTGTGTGATCTTGCTGAACACTACTATTGGCAAAAGAGCAATTGAAACAGATGACAATCTGCTAATCATGCACAGTTCTATTTAGAAATATAGCAATATTTTCCCAGTTAATGTTTTTGCTTAATTCCTAAGAGATTTATACTCTATGCAGAAGTTACTAAATTTGAGATACTTCACTACAGATCAACAATTTTCAGTAGGCTAAAAAGATACTCCAGCATTTTAAACAATTTTAGAGAATACAATGTGTAATGTGTAGTGTATGCTTGTGTGCAAACATCTATGTTTGTGTGAATAATGTATTTTTTTACATTAAATGATTTATATATAAATAGATAAATTCCGCATTTACTAATGATAGAAAATAATGTGAAGTATGTTTATAACAAAAGCTGATCTGGAAGCAGGAAGGAAAGCCAGGCCAACAAGGCAAGGATTTAGGAATAAAAGTATTTTCACATTTTCACTGAGTTACTTAGCATGAGCTTCCATGATTTACTTTTAACTTAGTACTATCGGGACTTGTAGATTTTGCTTGTGATTTTAGCCCTGAAATCAAAAAGGGCTATCAGTAATACTCCACTGGCATTCAGATAGGAACACTGGCTACACCTAGAGGCAAAATGTTTGATGTGGCTTTAACAACAACATCGAGAGGTTCCAGTAATTTCAGAAGAACCTTTGAACAATGGGAATTGAGATGGAAATGGTTTGGAAGAAGGGAACAGCAGTCTGATAAAAAAAAAAAAAGGACAACAATCAGATAGAAGCACTGTGTTTGATCCCCCCCATAACAGTGCGAGATCATCATTCCTCTTCGGAGCTGCGAGCTACCTATTTTTCCTTCTGTAGCTTCAAGCCTTGTTTCTGATGCGAAGTGATATTTACCTGGTGTACATTCTTCATGAGTGGCTACACATGCCAGAGCATGCTAGTAAAAAACCTGAAGAAATTACTTATCCTTCTTCTTCTCCCAAACTCATAGTTATTATGAAAGTGTTGTAAAGTGTTTTTCATAATCTTGCAAAAAAAAAAAAGGAAATATTTTACAATTCTTAGAAAATTTGCAATTCTTACTGACTTAATCATCAAAGTACTGTATCTACATCATAATCTATCTACTACCTATCTTCTGTCACTACCAGATGGGGTCCTCAAGCAGTGCAAAACACATCTGAATATTAAAATGTATTAGTGTTCTCTACGGCTTGTTGACTTTTTGTTGGCTGTTACAAGGGTTTAGCTTCATATAACCCTAATTTTAATTGAGAATATGTTTTAATAAGTGTTTCATTTGAAAGGCATGTGGAGACTTAATACAATAAAATATAATACATGTTACTAACTGTAGGTTATCTTAATGTTTGGGTGTGGGAATTATGCATAGCAGTCATTAGCAAATATGCATTCAAGATTGCCAAAGTGCTGGTATATATGCAGAGTAGTTCTCCTACAGAGGTATCAAGACAGATTTAGTACTCCAAACATCTACTGCATTTATTCAAAACTTGTAGGAGAATTATGTGTGACCACAGCTATTAGTAGCCTTAGCTACTGTTCTGCACTTGCTGCAGAGATGTTTTTTTGAGATGGTTTACGAGGCCTTCAGTTTTACCAAACTCACTTTCAAAGGTTCATTCTTTCTCTCCTGAATTCCTGTAAGCAATTTACTTGTATTTCATGCATCAAAGAAGAATAAAAAATTCTTTAAGACCTTACTCAATTTTTTTTTGTCTCTCTTCAGTACACAAAGATCATAAGAAGTGCAGAGAATGTGGAAATGATTCTGAGTGGAAGCACTCCAAGTGGTGGGAAAGTTATCATCCACTCTGGGGAAAAAAAAATTAAAAAATCTTGGATTGAAAACGAAGCAGAAAAGGGGAAGAAGAGAATGTAAAAATACAGGGGAAAATAGCGAAAGAGGGTATACCCCAGAAGCTTGGAATAGAAAACAGGAGGTAGAAGAGGAAAACTAGAGGTATATTGGATAAGAATCACTGTAACATAGGAAGAGATTCTACTATTTCCTCTTTCTCCTGTGCAGTTACAGTAGAAATTAAACAATAAAAACTGGAAAGTGGTGTGCAAAGGAGGTGTATTTTCCCAACTTGTACTTTCTAGTTAAACTTTTCTTTCCCTCAACAGAAAACTTGAGGAAATGAAGCCATATTTTAATCAAAGTCTATGTTTTGAAAAATTCCAGCAATTGTGTATATAGGTTCATCACAAGTAATTGCTATCTGTGTACTTACTATAAATTAAAAAAAAACAGTTGGGAGTAAGCAATGAAACTAAGAAAACCAAAACAGAAACAAGAATCTCTTGATATCTTATGAACATATGCTGATGCAAATTACTTGGTCTAGAAGTGGTTCATGCAGATGTCAGGAGTTACTGCTTATATTTCCAGATGGATTATAGTTTATAATATAAGTAGCATTTCATTTGTGCATTGTGGAAGATTAATATGCTTCACAATGTGCCTTACTCACAAGGAAGAAACACTTTCTATCTTACAGGTCAGCAAAATAAGCATGTATTATTTTTTTCTGTCTGTTTACTATTCAAAAATATCTCTTTGTATTGCTGTAAGCAGAAGATATTCATGTTTCCCGTGAAGAATGATTTGCTTTATATTTGTAAATTAGGTGAAAATATGTTATAGCAGAAAGTTCTCTTCAAGTTTTTATAGATCAGCAGTTACTAGATGGGTGAGCTGGCTGTTTCTCACGTTCTCTCTCCATTATGCACTTCTCACTTAAATATATGCTTCTCGGTTGGAAAAAACACCGAGGAGACAGACATGTTCACGTCTTTAACATAGTAATTGTTCAGTTAATCTCATTTATGGGGGAAGGAGGCTATACTTCACTGATACTGATTAAATATCCTATACCGGGTTCTATATAAATAGCTACAAATGTGCACAATGGTTACATTACATGGTATATTTAACAACACAGCTAAATCAAAAAGTATGAGCTATGCCTTTAGTGGTGGGAGTACTAACGGCTGCATGCAAGAAGATTTTTGCTCTGCAACCATGAAGGGAATAATTGCTGTTCAGCATTATTCGGTTAAGTTTGCATATCAGTAAAAACACATGCACAGAGGCTCCACCTACATTCCTGGTGCCCTAGCACTGATATGAGTGCAGCATATATTAAAGCTTTAGGAGGTAGTACAGTATTCACAACCTGAAAAGTGTATAATTTTTAATGGATTTAATTTGACCACTTTCAGATGAAATCACAACGGTGATGTTTGGACTTTTTGATTTTTTTAAAAATATTTAAGGCATTCAGTACCGTAGGTGCAGTTCACAGAATTATATGGTTTTTAAATCTTGAGCTTTTCCCTCTCTTTTTTATTAATTGCAGATACACATTTTTAAAACAAATGTTTGTTTTTCATATTCTAGATGGAAGACTTTATTTGAAAACTACTGTCATGTATTGAATTTTTCCTGCTGAAGATACCTGTGCTATGGTAAAGAACTTTGCAGTAAGACATTCACCCGAATGGAGTTCTGTGGGAACAAAATGTTTTCAACTTCATTTACCAATGTTCTTCAAAAGAGTAAGGAATTCTGCAAGAGTGTCCTCCTTTGGTTGTCTCCTGTAGCTCAAGCCAGAGCTCTAGAGAATGTTTGTAAATGTACACTAGCAATCTTCTTACAGTGAAAATCTTCATCTGTGCACCGGACTATTGTACCAAAACTACAGGCAGGTCAGAACAAGGTTCAGTATTCCCTTTTTCAAGGAATGCAGACTCTGTCCTCCTCTGATGATTCTATATTTGAGCACATCAAATGATCCTTCCAGCGGTGTCAAAGTACACTTACAGACCTTACAGACTGTTATATCATACCGAAACCAGCAAGACAGCTCAGAAATGAACTTGTAGAGGGCATAAGAGGACTCTTATTAAAAAAAAAAAAAAAAAAAAAAAAAAAAAAAAGAAGAAGAAAAAGCAAAAAAAAGAGAAAAAAAGTAAAAAGAAAAAAAGAAAGAATTGATACATTCAGTTTTCAGACTATGATCGTGGGTTTTCTTCTAAAGACATTTTTCCATATGCTTTCTGAGAGACCAACACAACACATGTATGTAAATCTACATTAAGTAAAATGGAATTTTGTGTAAGTGAAAAGAAATGCTGAATGTAAACAAACTGTTTTACTATTCACAAAGTCTCTTTTCCTAAAATAAATTTAAAAAAAAAAAAAAAACAATTAAAAGAGTAATAATTTCTCATTGTAAACTGGCAGGGGTTTGTGAAATAAATGACTTTGCTTCTTATCAAACTGTTGGTCACATGTACAGTATATAACACAAATCACACAAGGAAGGTATTATGTATGCAGTAGAAATCTAGCGTTTAGGAAATGAAAAAATTTAGATAATATTGTTTTGTCACCCTGTTGGTCAGAAAGACACCTTTCTAGTTTTAACGCATGCAGGCATGTAAATATTTGTCCTGGAGTCACAGTATTACTGAATGAGATCTTAAGCATCTGGTAACAAGTCAGAATTATCTATCAGCCACTTTTATTTGTATATTGAGCCCTGGTTAGTGCCCTGATTAGTGCACTTTTAAGAATGGACTGTGGCTGAGCAGCAAGTCAAAATGCCAGAAATATTTTTATATGTTAATGTCATATTACGTCAATGTTGCTAAAAAAAGAAAACCTAACAAACACTTGATGTGTCAGTCCAATTCCACGTAGAACTGAGTGATACAGTTGAAGTCTGTTGTCCCTCCCACCTTGTCATAGGGACTGGTGGTTATGTGTTACTTTCACTGTCTTTATAAAAGCTACAATATGTGTTTTCACTTTTGTGCTGATAACTGGAAGTAAGCTGCAACACAGTGCTTATTACATAACTAGCAATTATCTTCTTTGCTTTGCATACTTTTGGGTTACCCCTTTAAAGACTGATTTTGTGAATCAGTGCTATTACTGTAAGTTTTGCGATTATGCTTTCTTCATCTTTCATGTTTTATGCATATAAAATATTATTTATTACATGGAAACGTATCAAAATCTTAAATGTTTAAGATGCCTAACTTAAAACAAATGTTTCTTTAAAAATAGTTCTGATTGGATATTAATATTATTTTGTCAAAAAAAAAAATCTAATGTTTTGTAAACTCTAGCACTGAGCTTCTATAGTTAGTAGGTCTTCCTTGCAATACTGGTACACATTTATTTTCTGCAGTTCATATTTACTCCATCACAATCCTTTTTCAACAACAGAAAATATGTATAGAAAAGTTCACATCATGGTAATTTTTTTTTTAAAGAAATACCAAGCAATATTTTTCATTAAATATTGTTATTGAATACTTTATAGTGACATTATTTTCTAACCATGATTTTTTCATAATTTTCATAGTTGCTTGAACACTTAGGAGATTCTGCACTCCAGTTTTTTCATACACAGTCTTTAAAGGGTTAACAGCTGTAAAGTTAGGTGGATTTGTGTCAAGCTTTTTAATCATTCATATCTGAAAGAGAATAAAAAGCCTACAACTGAAATATGTAGTAGCATCTACCATTGCTCTGCTCCTTGCATAGAGTCAGCTGTAAGTAGGTTTTAGTAGTTTTACAGTATATACTTTCAAGACCTTTGGGAACGCCTCATTGTTTGGCTTGGTACATAAATGGAAATGTTAAAGTTTAAGGGGGAAACAATTTATAAGCTGGATTTTTAGAAAGAATCTTGCTAAAAACAGTGTAAATATTACAGACCATGAGATGTTAACGTAAGTTGAATTTTTTGCCCCTCTTTAGTTATGCAGGTTTTGGGTTGGTATTTTGTTTTTGATTTCAAATTTTGTTTTGTTTTGTTTTTTTCATAGATGATGAAGAAAAGTTGTGCTCATGTTATTGTTTATATGCTTTTGTAATCAAAGATATTAATGTCTAGTTGTTCTATATTATAACCATATTTGCGCTCTATGCAAGCCCTTGGAACAGAACATACTCATCTTCATGTAGGACCTATGAAAATTGTCTATTTTTATCTATATATTTAAAGTTTTCTAAAAATGAAAAAAAGGTTATTACGAATTTTGTTGTACAAAATCTGTACAAAAATCTGTTTTTACATCATAATGCAAGAATTGGAAATTTTTCTATGGTAGCCTAGTTATTTGAGCCTGGTTTCAATGTGAGAACCACGTTTACTGTTATTGTATTTAATTTTCTTTTCTTTTCAACAATCTGCTAATAAAACTGTCTGAAATCTCCCTGTGACTTCATTTACAGTTCATCTTTATTAAATTTTCTGAAATGCGTAACATCAGAGGAATATTTACTTTCTAATGGGAGACATTTAAAAACAACACAAGTCAGCTCTTTGTAATGTGAGGAGAACAATGCTGAAAGATTTTATTTAACATGCAACTGCTTCTATCTCTAATATGAATTACTGTGGTGAAAAACATCATAAAAGCACACTTCGTGGTTATTGTTTAACAAGCAGATTTTCCATTTTTTTTTTTTTTTTTTTGTGCCAGCTAAGCAAACTGCCCAGATCTACATGATTTATTTATGTACATTTCTCAGTTTATGAAGCTGTTATTTGTACCTTTTTCTTTTATATTGTGATATTCCCATGATTCTTATTTCAGAAAGCTTTGTGCTGAATAATGTAAAGTGGACACTTCGATGGAACAAAACATATAATTCCCCTAGCTACAAAAAAGGTAATCCTGTTATTTTTCCCTCAAGTTTCATTCATCTGATAAAATGTGTTTAGAAACTTTGACATTCTAACACATTTTTTTTATAATCAGCAAGAATTTAAACATTTAAACAGGCATTTGGAAGGAAATATTTCTACCTTAGCATATCTTTAAATGCCATTTTAAGAGTTTGTTGTTTTGTTTTGTTTTGTTTTTAAATGATAAAAATAGTTATTTAAAAACAAATCTAGAAGCAAGATTTTTTTTGACAGAAAATTCAAAAGTCAGAGATATATGATTGATTTTAAGTATTATAGAATCATAGAATCATAGAATGGCCTGGGTTGAAAAGGACCACAAAGATGATCTAGTTTCAAGTCCCGTGCTGTGTGCAGGGTCACCAACCACCAGACCAGGCTGCCCAGAGCCACATCCAGCCTGGCCTTGAATGCCTCCAGGGATGGGGCATCCACAACCTCCTTGGGCAACCTGATCCAGTGTGTCACCGATCTCTGTGTGAAAAACTTCCTCCTAATGTCTAACCTAAACTTCCACTGTCTCAGTTTAAAACCATTCCCCCTTATCCCATCACTATCCACCCTTGTAAACAGCTGTTCCCACTCCTGTTTATATACACCCTTCAAGTACTAGAAGGCTGTAGTGAAGTCTCCCCAGAGCCTTCTCTTCTCCAAGCTGAACAAGCCCAGTTCCCTCAACTTTTCTTCATAGGAGAGGTGCTCCAGCCCTCTGATTGTTATCTGTATGTCTTGCCTTGCCTTCTATTCCCTTTTCCCTTTCCTTCCTTTTCCTCCTCCTCTTCTGAACCATACCTACATGAATGCTTCTGCTTTCCTTAGGAAGCAGTCTTTGGGAAACAAATAGGTCAGCTCTACTGGGCCAACCCATTTCTTACTCCACAGATAAGTTGGGGACTGCACATGTGAGGCCAACAATCTTCTTGGATTCCAGCAGGTTCTTGTTGCTGACTACTTGATAAAGATTTTGTCCTGCTCTTTGCAGGACAATCACAGTCACCTCTGTCCACATTAAAATGTACTGCACATCTACACATATACATTAGTAAGCATCCTAGCTATGCCATAGCCAGCTCCTCCACTATTAGCTTTGGCACAGTCAAAGTAGATGAAAGATAGACATCACTCTCTCCATGCCCCTTTCAGGACAGAATGATCTCTAGTATAACAGATTAGCAATTTTCTTAGCCCTTACCTGCTTTTCTGTAGGTTCCACCATAGCTCCACTGATAGATCAGTGTTTTATTAGTTGAACGCAAGCTGGGATTTAACAGGGCTGAGGTTGGATGGGCTAATAGCCAATCACGTTTTGATATTCCTTATTGCAATGAAACTAAACTCTGTCAAAGTTTGAATGTCCAAAGACTTGTCAGATTTAAATAATAAACATACATTTTTTTAAACTATGGAAAGAGATTTAAAGTGGTTTTGTTTTTTTGGTTTTGTTTTGTTTTGTTTTATCTGAAATGTAAACCCCTTTAATTGTTAAAGGTGCTACATGTTCTTGAAAATTGCTCATGTTATTTGTTTACATGGTATTTGACAGAAGACTGTTCAATAAGCAAAACTCAAGGCCAAAATTTTCAAGTGAGACACTCCAAGTTTTGTCAGCCAAATTTCTAATTTCAATACTATTTCTAAAATAAAATACTCCAGCTCAAGTGTTCTGTGAAACTTACTTCTTCAGCAGCTACCATCTAACTCATCCCAAAGATAACAGGGTATTTACTAGTGTGCCTTCAATAAGCCTGGTCACCATGGTCAATGTCACCCTCCACTGTCTATCACCTAAAGCAGAAGCTTCAACAACTTGCTGAAATCCACGCTCTTAAAAATGAATTCAGTTAGAAATAATAATAATAATAAAAAGTTATCCAGAGTATTTGGAACGTCTGGAAATGTTCATTAAAATACCAAATCAGTTAAGAAGAATTTGCACTGCACATAGTATGTGAATAAACGTGATTTCTTCATTTAAAGTATTGTAACAGTGCTTGCCATTGTCCAATGAACTAGTTAACCGATCCCCTAAATTTGGATCATAAAGGTAAAGCCTGACTTACGTCTACCGTGCACAGAAAAAGAGAAGGAGGAAAGAGATCGTAGAATAATAGTCACAACAAAGGAAACTGACTATGGAGATGGGGAATGAAAATCAAAATGAGAGAGAAGCACTGAAACAGTTTTCCCAGAGAAGTTCTGGGATCCCTGTTTTTGGAAATTTTCAAAACCAAGGTGTGCAAGTCCCCAAGAAACCCATCTTTTCCCAGTCTAATGCAAGTTACTATAAATGACTTTCTAAGGTTCCTTTCAACCCCAGTTTGTATTGTTCTGGAGATACAAAACTTACATAAGTTATATCCTTGTAGGCATAATATTTTATACGCAGTTCAACAAGAAGCAAAATTTTCTCCTATAAATAGCAGTTATCAGATCTAGAATATCAATTGTTCTAATATGCTTAAGGATCCACAGTTTTTTGATTGTCTATATCAGAATGAGCTGCACTATCAACAAGATGTGAAAGTAGATACACAAAGTGAATAAAGAGAAGATACAGAAGGATATAAAAAGAACTTTTTCTAGTGCAGATATATTTAAATAATAAAAGTGGAAGTCAATTGGCTCTCAGACTGATTTTATAGCAATAGAAATCTAAAAGGCAAGTGGACTAATAATATGTCTAATAACAAAAATAACAGGTGTATGGGATAAAGAAAGTAACTGGATGAAATATGTTTTTTCACATTCATTTTTTATTGAATGCATTGACCAGATAGCCTGAGGGAAAAACAGAAATTTTTAATTGGAACAGATCCTTCTTTTTAAAGTATGCTTCCTTTACTTTTTTTCAAATTGCTTCCTTGAAACTGGTTTGTGCTGCAAGACAACCAGCTATTTTGTAATTCTATGGATTGTTTATCTCCAAGATACAGAAGACTTTGAAACAGTGAACTCGGTTTGTTGACTTTTCTGTCAAGTAGGTGCTACCATGCAATGAGGGAGCTGAAGTACAGGAAGGGTAAACTTGACATTTTAGAACTTGAGAGACAAATAGGATGTCACTGGGCTTCAGAATATCTGTATTTGTGAAGCAAATGTGGTACATGTGTGTTTAGCTTGGGCTTGGTATTGAAGGATTTTATAGGTAAATAGGTGTTTTTGTTTTGGCAGTGCTGAATACTGAATGAATCACAAAGTAGAGATTTAATATTAAGAGATTAAAATAAAGTTGTGATTAGAAAAGTGTACTGTCAGTTCAAGACCGCAACAGATTTTTGCATAGGAGTTAAGAATGATCGAAAAGAATGTATTTCAGCTTCCAAAATGGAGCTAAACAGTGATGCAGTAAGAGGAAAGTGGGCTCTAATTATATTTTTTAGAAAGATCTGGTAAGATACAGGTGCAGCAAACAACTTTGGTAAGCTCCTGGGAAAGCAGACATTGTTTTCTGTTCCATTCAGAAGCAGCTAATAACCATTTGGCTTCCTTTCACTGTTACCAAACTGATGTTGCAGAATCTGGCTTTCAGTGATGAGATCATATATTGGAAGCCAGAAATAAGTTTCCACATGGATCTTTTGAACAATCTGAACTGAATTTAACAATTGAAGAGGACAGAGATAAAGTATTACCTTCTTTGTGAGCTAATCAATAACAAGAACACCTCTGGGAAACAGATGCTAGTATTACCCTTAGAAGCTATTTCAGTGTGGAAGCTGAACAAGTTCACAGATGCCACCATACAGAGAACTTACAAATATAGTAAATAATAGTAAAACTCTAATTCTTGGTTTCTTTCAGGTGACATATTGGCCTATCTACCTTAGACTTATACCTCTACAACACTGTAAGTGAATGTATGTTATCCAGTAAGAAGACAGGACTAGAGGAAGAGTAAGGGTTGAAAATAAAATCCCTGTGAAAAGTAAAAGTATGATATATAGAAAAATGATATAAGAAAAGTTAAATGGAACTGATTTTAATACAAAATTAGTCCAAAGATTTCAGAATTCAAAAAGCCTAAAAAGGAATTCCAATGGCTTCCATGTGCCTAATTCAAAATTATAATAACTAAGCAGATAAAGGTGTATGAAGAAGTACTGCAGAGCCCTGGGAGTGGTGGTAAGGAACTGTGGAGCTTCATCCCAGACAAAGGAAAGGGATTTGAAACGGCCAGTCAAATCCATCAGTCAACAAACAGTTACAGTGCTGGTATTACAGCTAAGGATTTGATATGGGACACACATTGAGAAATCTGGTCCACTATGACAATTATAAAATGGTGGAGTTTGAGGTCATAAGGGCATTGATATGAAGGCACGACTTCTCATTACCCTAGTTTTAAAGAGAGCATATATTGGCTTCTTTAGGGATCTGCTTTGTAGATTGCTGCAAGATACAGTCCTGAAGAAGGACCCAAGAAAGAGTCACCTTCTCCAAGCACAACAGTGATTCATTCTAACAAAGAGAAAGACACGCAAAAAACAACAGGAGCCATGCTTGAATAAAAAAGGAGCTCTTG